TAAATATGTCTGAAATAATTGGCCTGTTTCTGACCAATTATCCTCAGTAAACATTACACCAATCCAGTAAGATAGACATTCAGTAAAAAAAAGTGCACTCAAATTCATGTTGTGTTTTGCTAATATTTTAGCTACGGGGTAATTTTAAGTAACATGTTATTTTCTATCATACTAGTTTCTTACTTGTACTGGCTTCTGCTTCAGAAACATTTCCATTATGATTTTGATATTTATATTCCCTGTATGATATTTGTTCACAGTATCACTTGCCATCTGTTACTTGTCTATATATTAAATTATTGCATTTACCCCAATTTCATTTTAAATTGTTTTTTATAAGATTTTATTAATATTATGTGTTTGGAACTCTGTATTTTGATATGGCCTAAGGGCTAATCAATAAACTAATTATTATTACTTGCCATCTGTGAAATCTAATTTCATGTCAGTTGCCTCTTTTGAGATAAGTTATTAGAGACCTCTTCATTTGTTTTAGATATTAGTGTTATCACAGATCTATACTGTTTTGCTAGATAATAAATTAATATAATTAGTTGTACAGTATGTCAGTTTGCAAGGTAGTCTTTAGGTTTTACATGATATTATAAGAAGTACAGAATAGCTTGATAATAGGGTAAAATTGGGCTTTAGTTGAGCTGATGATATGCTGGTTAAATGAATAAAAATTAATTGCTGCTATAAACGGAATGCTGTAAATAGTATGGATACTACAAAATATTCTAATCTAATCTTCCCTTTCATATCATACTGTACATTATATGAATAATATAACATACTGTGCATTATATGAAAGCCTCAGTTCACTGAAGCCCTAACAGGTGCGGGAAGTCAATATTTATGGTTCCTCTAGTAACAAATATGACATATGGGGGATTGCAACTTGAAATGTAAGTTGAATAAATGTCAAAGGGCATTCATTTGTTCATGAATGAAATCAGAGAACACCCCCCCAAACATCCAGCTACACTTTGTATCTATAAAACTAAGAGAACTGTAATGAATGAAGGTAATTTGATCTTGGGGAGGAGTAAGGAATCACAGAGATGACCTTGGAGGAACTAATGTTATGAATATATAATTTAAGCCCATGACCAGAAAAAACCATAGAAATAAATTTAAATTGACTCCACCTTAACTCTCTTGTCTTGTGTAATAGGGAGGGAGAGCAAACACTGTCAGGTTTTCAAGATTCCTTTACTAGCACTTTTATCAATAAACAAAGGTTCTGACTATTTTTACTGAGTTTTATTTTCTGCCCTGGGAAGAAGTGAAGATGTAGATTTAAATTTGAATCAAAAGACTAAAATGTATATCAAAAAGTATGCATTGATGGCATCTAAGTTGTTATAAGTTGTGAAAGTAGAAAACTATAGTATGGTGAACTAGACATAGGTTAACATTTTAAATCAATATATCATAAAAAAAATATTAGGTGATATGGAATGGATCGATGGGAACAAAAGTATATAAAATTCTAAAATGGTTTTCCCTAACTATTCTATTAACTTGACAAACTAAATATTTTAGTCTTTTCTGGCATTACCTGACCTTTCTTTAATTATTTGAAATATGTAGAAAAGGAGATTCTTAGTATTGGAAGCCTACTGATCCTGATGTGGAGTTTTTTAAAAAATAAATAGTTGAATATGTAAGAATTCATTTAATTCTCCTTGGTGCCTGATTTCTTATTGTCAACTTACATCCCAACTGCTATCCTACATTTGTATTGGATGACCAAAATGGATGGAAATTATAAGAATTAAATTGAAAACAGCAGCTGCCAAATGAGTTGCTGTTTGATGGTTTTTCTAACACAGCACAACACACACACACACACACAGAATCCCAACTATAATATAATTATTAACTAGTAAATAAATAATATCTTTGTTAGGACCAAAATCAGGGTAAATCTAAAACTCCTAGATCACTAATCTAGAATAAATAACTAAAACAAAAGTTGAGAAGGGAAACTGTAAAGCATAATGCCTTTGCATTATGTAGAAGGCAATGCATGAATTTAATTCAATTAGAAAAAGATTATAAAATTATTCAGGTTGGTTTATGTTACAGTATGAATATCCAAGATCCCAGTGTATATAGGTTGTTAAGCTTTGGCCATAGCTTTTGGATATGTGAATTTCTTCATTATATATATTCTCATAGATTAAGAACAATAGTAAGTAAGATAGTGTTGTGCTGGGAAAGAGAAGAGATGGATGCATGCTACATGCCATTTTTATGGTGTATGTCAGTGGCCCCCAACCTTTTGGGCACCAGGGACTGGTTCAGTAGAGAAAGATTTTTCCATGAACTGAAGAGAGCATGGTTTTGTGTGCTTCCTGCATGCCGCAGATGGGACTTCACTTGTTTGCACAGCCCACTTGCTGGCGTGCCATGGATTGGTGCCAGCCCACGGATGGGGCATTGGGGACCCCTAGTGTATGTGATTGTTCAGAAATGGTTGGTAAGGCAGACAATTGTGTATTTGTGTGCTTTATGTTAGTATGTGGGAGAGATCATCTATATATAGTCAGTAACTCATATCAATAATGAATAGCTTTCTGGAATCCTACTTGTTGTTTGTACAAACTGTGTAATAACAAAATGTATCTGCCATGAGGGAAATCTTATTGTATCCTAGAAATGGCTATAAAAGGTTCAAGTGCTTAAAGCTGTTAGGAAATTGAAAATGGTGCTTGTTGTCACAAGCTGCTATTTTTTCCAACAGATGACTGAGGATGTTCATGAACAGCTCTATTTCAGACAAAAGGGCATCACTGACAGAAAGGGCTACTTAACGGTTTACCTGTTTATTGAAACTGAGTATTTCACCAATTCAGCTTTCCTTGCACCTGACATCAACAAGGCAGACTCATCCATCATACAAAATTGTATATATATGCTTAAAATTGTTGTCTTGCATTATTATTGTTAGAGTTCATGTATCAAAATGTCACCTCCCCTTTCCCTTTTCTGACTATAAAATGACTTTTCAAGGATATAATTTTTAGTTTTAAAATTAAAAAAAATATAGAAGAAGGATCACCAAGTATATGTTTTTGGAATCCTTTCTTTCTGCCAGTTTATCTTTATTAATACTAATGTCTTCCTAAATTAGTATTTATATATAAGTACCTTTCACCTTCTCAGTAAGCAATTTGGTTCTTGATTTTAGAACAATAAATTATTATAGGCAGATGTAATCAGCTCCCAATTAGTTATCACATAGCAACATATTTTAATAGTCACTGATATAATCTCTAACCTTTCAATGGAGAACATCAGTGGGTTTAAGTGCTTCAGTAGCAAGACATTTAAGAAGCTGTTGTGAATGGATACCTGAAATATGGCAAAATTAAAACACGAAATACAAATATAAGAGGTCTAGCTTTAGGAAATATATGATGCCATTAATCAGATATATTTTTGTAATGTTTCATAAGTGAATCATCAGAAGTTTTTGTTCATGAACATTTTTCAATCTGACAAAAAAGATCTCATTCAGAGGAAAATTAAATGTTATAGGGCATTGCATTGGGACATTTTCTTTTAAAATATAGAATTAGTTACATATTTATTTGTCACATCTTTACAAAGTCTATTAGCCAACTATTTAGTTTGAGCACAGAAATTAACTTGATTTAAATGTATTCTCTATCTATATCTTTGGGTACTGGTTTCTATTGCCATTGTCTACAAATGGCAATGGTTTGGGACATGGCAGTGCCAAGCCTTCAGGCACCATTTATATAATGTGTAGCTTTACAACATTGAAAAAAGGAAACTATGTTCTGGGTGTTTTCTTTTTCTGTCTGGTTTTTTTCTTGCTACGCAGACCTCTTTCCTCAACATCTTTTTCTCCCTTCTGACTTTTGGCCTTAAGCTTCACTCAACCAGGTCCATTCCAGATAATACTGACTTGCATGCTGGATTTTACAGTTTGCACATCTAAGGCACATCAAATTAAGAAGAACTGATTTATACAATGACTTGGAGTTACTAATAATGTAATGTATCAACCAAAATGATATTTAATACAAAATAAATTGTGAGTGTAGTAATAAATATAAACTGACCTCGGTGTCACCAATCTGTAGTAATGAACATTAATAAACAATTACTTTATGGAGTTGTTATAGTGTTACATATCAGCTGCTTTCAATATGTGAAATCACTATACTTGATATAGTTTCAAGAATTGTTGCTCGGTCCCCACTACATCAAAATGGTTGATATAATGTGCATTTAAGAGTGAGATATGTGGTACTATTGATAAGGTGACATTTATTGTTTGCTTTTTTTTGTGCAGCATAAAGAATGTCACTCCAAAAGTAGGAGATGCTGAAACCCGTAAAGCTATTCGACGTGCCTTCGATGTGTGGCAGAATGTAACCCCTCTGACATTTGAGGAAGTTCCTTATGTAGAACTGGAGAATGGCAAGAAAGATGTGGATATTACTATAATTTTTGCATCAGGTTTTCATGGAGACAGTTCTCCATTCGATGGGGAAGGAGGATTTTTGGCTCATGCTTATTTTCCTGGGCCAGGAATTGGAGGTGATACTCATTTTGACTCAGATGAGCCATGGACTTTGGGAAATCCCAATCATGATGGTAAGAGCCCAGTTCTACTTAAAGATATTTAATAGAGGGATGTGCCCATATTACTTTAACTTGAAGGTAACTTTATTGTTGTTGTTTTTTTAAAAGCAATAGTTCATATATTGAGGGGTGGCTGTTGTGCATTATCAATATGGTATAAACTGTGGAAGAACAACTGGAATTTGTACTTCTGTAATTTGATACTTAGACACTATATGTTAGTGCTATGGTCTATGATCATGGCTGTCAAATGTTTGGGGACACCATGCCATCCTTAGGTATGGGATATATAAATCATTTAAAGTTGGATGTCTTGGATGTAAAAAATTTTGACAGTCACCTAAAAAGCGAGTACTGAAAGGTCAGTGAGCATCCTTTTGGGAAACTCATTTGATAGTAGTTGGATCATCACAGGAAAAGCTCAAATTTAATCTTGTTTCTACTACTTATAACCTGATGAGAAGAAATCTTTTCTTTATCATAATAGATGCAAACTCTTTTATATACTTTCTTGAATATCCTTTTGTCAGGGACATTGTATGGTCCAGTGCCCTATCCCAATATAATTACATGGGAAGTATAATACAGGAATAGCATTCAGTTTCATAGCTGTTAAAAATAATTTTACTGTCTATCATTAAACCTTTTGATGGAGTTAAATGCTGACAAACACAAGAAAAGACTCCCTTCCATTTCTGTATCTGCTCATCTACAACTTATACTACTTATAAAGATACACTAGATTACTTAGAGATGTAATCTGGTATAATAGAGAAATAAGGACATCAAAAAATTCATTGAGTATAATATGTTCAAGCAACCACTGGCTTATTTTATATATATATATACTCATTTTGGATTTCTAGTGAGAAAATGAGTAACAGTTAAACAAATATGAGAATATAACTATTGTTCTATATTGAAAACTGTTTACTTAATTTTTTTTTCCTGGCAATTGCCACTATCAAAAACAGTCTTAGAAGAAATCAAAATAATGTTTGCGCTTAATATAAATGCATTTAAGAAATGTAGTTCTTTAGATGTAATTTGAGTGGCTTGCTACATGAAATATGGACTCAAAAGTAGCAGTAAATGATACATTTAAAACAATACATTTAATGGTAATTAAGACTGAATAATGATCCGAGCTCATTAGGGAAAACTTTGTAATGTCAGGAAAAGGAAGGAACTAATTCTGAACGGAACTCAAGTAGCCTTTCAACTACAACTACAACAACTAGGCTTTAAAAAAGGGTTATGTATAAATTAAGGTGCATTGATTGGTTTGGGGCTTCCATTTTATTTTATTTTTTTCCTAGGGATCTAATATTTGAAGATTCAGCCTTTCTTTGGATGATCTTTACATTTACATGCCTGTAACAAGGATTTAATCTAATACTATCTGCAATGTGTCGAGCATGGCAATATGTCTAAATGGTCCAATTTTTTGCAGTGCAGCAGGCTCAATAAGACAGCGGTTTATTGATCTTAACCATCACAGGAACTAATAGCAACTTCACTTATGTCAAATGGAATCCTACCTTCTTGACAGCAAAATGAACTCTGTTGCTTGTGGTTTTCTTTGAGTTATAAATCTCAGCTCTGTATCAGAGAAAGAATTAGATAATCTAAGAACCTCAGTAGGATGAAGATGTTGTGTGGGGTAGAATTTTAATTAAAGACTTAAATGAGGAAATATACAGAATTTACACTGCAGCACCTTTATTCTGATCTGCTAAATTAAAGATCAGATTTATCAATAGTATGTATTTACCCACACAGACTTAATTATGGAGAGTCGTGTTCCAGAACCAAAGAACCTGGGCTATAAATTAAATATGCAAAGGGAAGTTGTGTATTCAAGGAAAAAAAATAAATGGTGCCCTTATGGCCAACCAAAAGCTATGACTATAATTTTAACCAGGCAGCTATTGCTTGCCAAACCAGACTTACCGCAGCTTAATAACATTGAGCTGCCTCAGACTGAATCATCTCATATTTGTAATGTAAGTTAATGTAATGATGGAAAGATTTGTGTTATTTGCACTGTCATAAATGATTAGATGTTTGTAACTTTAAGAATCTAATTACTTATTTCTCATATATATAGCAGTGCCACTGTACTCTAGGATAAAATTAATACTTTGCTGATATAATATTACAAACTGTCAGTATTCTTCTCTTAAGCAGTTCTTTCTGTATAGAACAGGATCTGGATCAGTATATTGATATTGTACATATATCAGTGTTAAAAATACACATATTTTTCATTCTGTTAATCGATTTAACATATATTAAATAATAGAATGAATATTTGAGACATTTCTGAATTACAGGCCTGTTATTTAATTTGATTTTACAACAGAAACTTGTATATATTTATCGTGGTTTTATTATCGCCTGTTCACCGCCCTGAGTCCCGTAAGGGAGATAGGGCGGTATATAAATTCAATAAATAAATAAATAAATAAATAAATAATCAGTTTATGGCAGAATCTTACTCTTGATGGCTTTTTCTGTGGCTTTTATTTAGAATTTTATACAGGCATGCCTGGTAGGTAAAGGAAAATCAACATGCAGATTATAAGACCAGTAAACACTGTTTCCTTGTATAAATTTACATGATTATTTTATTTTTAAAAATGAATATTTTTATTTAAAGCAATATAATTATTAGGTTCAAAATTATTATTTAGATGCATAATTTCCACATTATCAGGTAGCATTCAAACACAGAATTTTTTAACAAAAGCAAATGCAAAAACATGCTGATGTGAAAATGCAGGGTGAGTTGCTATATTCATACTATCATCATTGATAGTCCTGTGCTATTTCCACTCAGATCTGTGCCATATTAAATAATTAGCTTTGTTCCCCAGACATTTCTTCAAGTTCTGAATTTTTTACCATTGAGATCATATACATAGAATATAATTACCTATAAGCACCAAAAAACAGAAGGAATCTAGAAGCACCTTTCCAATAATAACAAATAACAAATTTAATAAAAATGATTATTTTATTAAAAGGGTTAAGTTCCATGAACTGTAGCTATAAGCCTATAGTTTACTTCATCGAGGCTGGAATGGTTAAATTAATGTAGGATTTGAAAAGAAAGAAGAAATGTCACACGCAACAACAAACAACAAAATAAATATGTTAATAATGTTAATAATATTAATAATGAAAGAGACCTTACAACAAACAAAATAACATTTCATACATTCTTGGAAGCCTATAAGTTTTCCCAGGTAGGGAAGTCTGGAAGTTGAGTGAATTGGTCAATGTGATTCTATGTTTGCATGGTTTCAGCTAGAAACATCTCAGGAAACATTATGTCATTATGTTGTTATTGTTTTCACAGTGGTTAGAATACAGTATTGCAAGCTAACTCTGGCCACAGCTTGGAGTTTGATTCAGAGGGGCTCAAGGTTGACTCATCCGTCTATTCTTCCAAGGTCGATAAAATGAGGACCGAGATTGTTGGGGGCCATATGCTGACATTGTAAACCGCCCAGAGAATGTTATAAGCCACTATGGGGCGGTGTATAAGTCTAATTACTATTGCCATATACCGTACATCATGAAATCACAGCTGACACTTCTTTAGATAGCCTTCATTCGCATCAATGAAGTGTGCAGAATCATGCAGTATGGCCTTTTGTAATTAAGAAATGTAAATTTGTCAAAATGCAGATTTTCTAATTGCCATTTTGGTATGGCATCCAGTGTACTGATAACTACTGGGACCACCACAGCTGGTTTATGTGATAATCTTTCAACTTTGTTTTTCGGATTTTGATACTTTTAACACTAAAAGAGTGAAGCAAAATACATTAAGTGAATTAAAGGCATTAATTATTCTTCATATTTAGACTTCAGCTCTCCCTCCCCCCCCGTAATCCTTTTCTTTTCAGGTGTATAAATTGTGGGTTTTATGTGATGAAGTCCTGCTGAAGTTCAGCCATGAGAAATATCAGATGAAACAGACCACAAGTTCAGGGTCAGTATATGGAGAAGCTAAACTGAACCCAGAGTGTCAAGAGAATTAGTTATCTGAGTGATTGTTTTTCTCCTTTTTGTTCTTCTGGCATACAGGAGGCTAGGAAACTACAACTGCTTGATTATTTAGCAAAAATGCAAATCACCTAATCCCCTTGGCTCATTTTCTGCACTATATTGCTCTGCTAATGAAGGCAATTTGAATTTGAATCCATTTCTCAAAAGAGGTGAACAATTTCTTGGAGTACTCACTAAAACCTTAATATGGTCTTTCTGTTTCCATAAATCTTGTTCAGAGTTAATGTTTTTTAAAGCGTTCACATTAATTCCCAAACAACATGGGCAATAAAGTTTTGCAAGGAAATACGCCTTAACTTAACTGAAAGAAACTAGGAGTTTTTGAGATAGCACTTCATTATTTCTGCTATTTCTAGGTACCCTTTGTTTACGGCCCTCATTGTAAGTAGCAGTTTAACAGATGAATTATCCAATATCATCAATCTAATTAAAGTACTCAAAGACACATTGTAAACTTCACATCAGCTTGTCACAGAACATACATATTATATTTTCACTTATACACACACACAAACAAACACATATATCAGATTGTATACTGAATCTGGGAATGTAAATATTTTATTTTTACTGAGCTACCACTTATCCAATAGGTGACAATATGATCTACAGTCTCCAAGTACACACACTGTTAAACATTAAATAATAGCTATGAGGTACAGGGACAATTAGTACTAAAACTCTGGTGTGAATCACCTAGGTTTAACTCCATAAAATAACCCTATTTTTTTCCTTTCTCTGGTTCTCAAAAGGTGCCTTGGATTGTTGTCAACAAAGTCTCGAACAGCTATAATAGATTCTTGCAAGTCAATGTTCCTTCCTCCATCCTCACTTCCTTTTTGGATGTAAAAGAATGTGGCTTCAGTCATTCGGAGATGGCCATTATCTTGACTTTTGGCCTCATATGCCTCTGGAAATAATATGTAGATGAA